TATGGTATCACTTATCTCTCGAATTCTGTCCTCGTGATCCAGTAGCTGTTTTTCTCTTTTTCTCAGCTTCTTTATTCTCCATCATTTGGTTTTCTATATCACTAATTCTCTCTTCTGCCTCATTTATCCTAGCAGTTAGAGCCTCCATTTTTGATTGCACCTCATTAATAGCCTTTTTGATTTCGACTTGGTTAGATTTTAGTTCTTTTATTTCTCCAGAAAGGGTTTCTCTAGTATCTTCCATGCTTTTTTCAAGCCCAGCTAGTATCTTTTAACCGTCATTCTGAACTCTAGTTCCGACATCTTACTAATGTCCATATTGATTAGGTCCCTGGCAGTTGGTACTGCCTCTTGTTCATTTTTTTTTGAGGTCAGTTTTTCCATCTTGTCATTTTGTCCAGAGGCGAATAGATGAATGAGAGAACAAAATGCTAACAGGGTAACAACAACCCCAGAAAAATATACACTAAACGAATCAGAAGAGACCTTCCAGAAAGTGGTCACTTTTCTGTTCAGAGAGTTGCTGCTATTCTTTTCTTTGATTTCCTATTGAGTTTGTAGGTGTTCAAAATGGTTTGATCCCTATCTAGCTGAATTCCTGGGACCAGACGAAATTTAGGTCTCCTACTCCTCTGCCATCTTGCTCCTCCCCCCTTGCCTTTTCATTTTTAATAGTGTCTTCTGAATAGTGTCTCCTGAAAACTTTAATGAAAGTTTTTGATTGTGATGGTGTCTTATATATCATTTGTTTTCTTCTTTTGGTTCTTACTTTTTGTGTTCTAAGAAATATTTGCCTAACCCAAGATGACAAAAATTTTCTCCTGTGTTGTCTTCTTGACATTTGTTTGTTTCCTCTTTCTTTTAGCCTGTATATTAAGATCTATTATCTTTTGAATTAATTTTTATAGATGTGTTAGGTAATGATAAAGAAAGGTTCATTTGATTTTTTGCATATGGCTATCCAATTGTTCCTGAGTTTTATGTTAAAAATATGTTATTTTCCCAGTGAATTTTCTTTGCACTTTTGTCTAAAGTTATTTGAACATATATGTGTGGATGTATTTCTAGACTCTCTATTCCATTCCACTGATGTCTATACTTACATGATAAGTTACAAGCCACATAATACACTGGGTATTACTTTTATTTTATTTATTTTTTCTAAGTTGTTTTTTTTTTTTTTTTTGAGAGAGAGAGAGAGAGAATGAGTGAGAGCATGGCGGGGGGGCAGAGGGCGAGGGAGAGAAAGAATCTCAAACAGACTCCATGCTGAGCTTGGAGCCTTTACAGGGCTCAATCTCAGACACCTGAGATCATGACCTGAGCTGAAATCAAGAGTTGGACGCATAACTGACTGAGCCACCCAGGCACCCCCGGGTATTATTTTTATTTTAAAGAGTAAATATATTTAAGTACATAAAAGTTTGAATTTTTTTGTATCTGTCCACATACTTACCATTTCTGCCACTCCTTATTCTTTCGTGTAGACCTATTTTTTACATGTTATCACTTCCTTCTGCCTGAAGACTACTTTAAAATTTGTAGTAGTGCAAGTTTTCTATGAAATCTTTCAGTTTTTATTTGTCTAAAATGGTTTTTATTTCATCTTTATTTTTGAAAGATATCTTCTCTTGATATGGAATTATAATTTGTGTGTGTGTGTGTCAGTACTTTGAAGATATTACTCCATTGTCTTCTGGCTTACATAGTGTCTAATATGAAGCCTATGAATAATTCTGTTATATATACTTTTTCTTTTTCTCAATTTTCACTTTATCTTTGTTTCTCAGCAGCTCAATGATGATGTACCTTCATTTTTTGTAATGTTTATTCTGCTTGAAGTACACTGAACTTCTTGGATCTATAGTTTCACTGTTTCATAGAATTTTGAAAAATTTTCATCATCACTTCAGCAAATATTTGTTTGTTTTCCTCTCTGCTTCTTCCAGGACTCCAATTACATGCATATTAGACTTCTTGGTATTGTTCTGTAAGTCATTCTTGTTCTTTTTTTCTCTCTCTCTCTGTTTTTATGTCTTTTTCTCTCTGTACTTCATTTAAATGGTTTCTAATACTATGTTTGCAAGTTCACTATTTATTCTTCTCAAGTGACCAATCTGCTAAGTCCACCTAGTACATATTTTTATTTCAGAAATTATATTTCATAATTCTCTCATTTCTATGTTATTCTTTTTAGCTTTCCATTCCCCCCTTATCCTGTGTATGTGTTTCTCTGCTTCCCTAAATATATGGAGCATATTTATAATTGCTGTTGTAAGGTCCTTATTTGCTAATTTCATTATCTCTGTTGTTTCTGGGTCTGTTTCTGTTGCTTGATCTTTCTTCTGGTTATGGGTCATATTTTCTGCTTCATTTTTGCTTGATATATGCTTATTTCACCAATTAAATGCTTACCATTTAAAGAGGAGTATAAAAAGAAGTAGAAATACTATCACAAAATTTCATTTTCATTTACATATTTATATACATTTATATATACTTTCACCAAGTATAAACAAACAAAAGAACCTCTACTCATTAAGTTCTTCTGTTTAGTTTGGAACTGAGATAGGATAGTTGAAGTAAATAAAAGTAAGAATTCCTTTGCAGTAGCCAAGTGATCAACATAATCAATATATTATGTGTATCTTCAACTTCTTAGTATACTGGCTTCCTGGCATTGCCATTAAAAAAAAAAAAAAAAAAAAAAAAAAAGCAGCACATTTCTTAAGAAAACCCTGAGCTAAATGTTAGAATAAAATGTTTTGTTTTCTTTTTTTGAATACAATAGGATGTTTCAGTATATTATGTTAAGGTTAAAGGATACTAGGAATTAGAAGTTGTGAGATTTTGTCAAATATATTGTGAGCATAGCCTCTAATATTTGTAACAAAATCCTTATGTTATTGTTACCATTTAACAATTATCATAATGTGACACACCCCATTCTTTTAAATTTTAGGTTGTAAAAATTAAGGGCCATTTCTATTTAGTATTTATCATATAGCATCTAGTGCAATACCACACACAATTAAGTGCTTGATATTGCCTTTTGATGAGCAATAATAATGATTTTCTAAACAAAATTTATCAATCTCTATGAAATAGAGAATGTGATATCTAAGCTATGAGAGATAAATATCATACACCGGTCTATACTTAGGTCCTTATTTTTTTAGTTTGAATTTCATCACATTACTTTTAAGTCAAGAACCATCAAGAACCTTGAATCTCTTGGGAAGACAAGGAAAGACCTGTGTCTTATTCCATTTTCCATTAACCTTTCAGATCTTATGTTAAAAATTTGGCCTATCCTTTGTCTTCTCTCTTCAAGCTATTCATATAAACTCAGTCTGTCTTTTGTTATGACCCTAAAAGATTAAATAATTTCTTTATTATTTTCATGAATTAATATGCAACAAACAAACTCAGTCATTCATCAGAAGGTATACTAATTATACCTGTTTTTTTATTCTTCTCAAGTGACCAATCTGCTAAGTACACCTAGTACATATTTTTATTTCAGAAATTATATTTCATAATTCTCTCATTTCTATGTTATTCTTTTTAGCTTTCCATTCCCCCCTTATCCTGTGTATGTACCTGTTTAAGATGCCACTAAGAATATTTATCTGTTAAGTCATGGAAAGAATGTTGCATTCTGAACTGGAAGTCTTAGGTTGTCATTTTTCACTTTTTAATTTATGAGACAATTCAGTTGACCTTTCTGAATAGATATTAGCTAATTTCTTTTAAGATTTTACTTATTAATTTAAGACATAGAGATACAGAGAGAGAGAGCATGAGCAGGGAGAGAGGCAGAGAGAAAGGGAGAAGCAGGCTCTCCTCTGAGCTAGGAGCCCTGATGCGGGGCTTGATCCCAGGACCCAGGGATCATGACCTGAGCCAAAGGCAGATGCTTAAGCATCTGAGCCACCCAGGTGCCCCAATATTAGCTAATTTTTAATGAAAATAGGTATTAGTTTTTTTTCTGTAAGAAAAATATATGATAATGTACATTAAAATTTCAATAAGTGCCAGGTTTTAATATTATAAATTAACATATATGAGTCAACCATATATAAATATATAATACCCAAGTTCTTATGAATCTGTTCATGAGGGACATGACAAACTACAGTTATTTTATTCTAAAATGATATAATGAGAATTTTTTTTTTTGCTCAGTTTCTTCAAGGTCATATTTATTGGAACTATCTCATAATAAACTGCAAGATGTCCTCAGAATGCAAAGGTTAAGTGTATTGGAATTGGACTCCAGGACACCTGATTTTATATTTAAAGTCAAGCTGCAACTTATCTTTTCTATCTTGGCTCTCTCTGAATCTTTCAGCTGCCTTAATTAGCTATGGAAGTTGATGTTGAGTGTTTACCCCATGCCAGACTACATTTCCTCTTTGCATAGACAGGTGCAAGGCACCTTTGAAAAAATTAAGGCTTAGGTTCCACTACATTTCAAACAGTAGCTAATATTTTTTAATTTTTTTAAAACCTTCTCCCAGTAGATAAGGTTGCAGAAAGCAAACTGAGGCAAAGGAATTACCCCATGCTACTGATAAGAATCCACATCAAACTTGTGCTTTCAAATGAAATGACATTCCTAATTCAAATGTATAGCTTCATATGCATAAAAATTAGTTGATCACCAGAGGAAAATAAAGTAATTTTCAAAATCTAATTTAACTCTTTTAATAAGGCCATGAACCAAAGAGAATGAAAGATGTCAAGAAAAAGAGAAAATATACCTTAGCCAATAATAGGTGTCATTTCCTACTTAAAAAAAAATTAATGCTCAGTAAGATTTGAAAAGAGAACAAGGCCTATTCATTTTGATCCTGTGGCAATACTTTGAAGCTTACTTTTTAACTTAGTCTATTTTACATTTCCAGATGCTATGAAAGGCAATGTATGCAGAAAGCAACACCAATGGGGATTTGGGTATTTCATTTTCCCCACTGTAGTGGTGATTTGGATCTTACTTTTTCTGAAAGCATCTTTAAAGAATTCTTCAAGCTGTCTGGAGAATGCTGGCTTGCAGAATTAAGCAGTAGGTCTGCATGGGTTGCTATCAGAGGTTGTAGTTGATTGATGTTGCTGAGAACTTCTTTTGCTTTGGCTGTGTTTTCAGGTGAATAGTAAATAAACTGGTATCCAGTACTGGAACAACAAAGATAAAGGCAAGTTACACAAAAAAGCAGAAAGAATTTGCAGTCCTTAGTACCAGATGGCAAATGAGAAACAGAACTCCAAATAGCATGACTTCCTTTTGAACAGAAAAGAACTATTCTAAGAGGTTTATATGATGTCCTAAGAGTTTTTTAAGTAAAATGACCAAGATATTTTTTAAAGATTTTAAAAGTGAAATACATCGAGTTTTGCTCAACCACAAGGAAGATTCTTTATAATTACATATGTCAGGTATTAGTATTCAAAATAAAATTATTGTTAATTACTAATAAACTTGAAGTCACATTAGTACAGAGTGAAAAGAAAAGTATGAGCTTTTATATTCAGGCTAATTTGAATATTAATCCTGGCTCTGCCACCTACTAGCTGGGTGACCTTAGGCAGGCTTCAGTTTCCTCCACAGGAAATTAGGAATAAATATACAAGAATTCTAAGAGGTGGGTAAGGTTGGTCATAATTCATGTGAAATGCCTACAATAGTGACTAACACAGAGCAAGCATTCAATAAATACTACCTATATTTTCCCCCATGATAGGTAGGGCAGAGTGAGTAAAGTTTAATAGCTGAGAAATGGGGAGAAAATATATTAATGCCAAGTGGGCATAAGGAGAATTTTATTGGATAGAACAAGAATATTTATAGCATAAAAATTTCATTATGCTATTTTATCATTACCCATTTTGTTCCTAGTGCTTTCTCATTTCACTTGGAAAAAAATGTAAAATTGATTACTAATTGAAGAATTACTGACTTTTATAATCATCATCTAAGAATTGGCCAAGCATACTATGGGGGTAAGGATTCCATGAAATGAAGGAATCTTTGGATTAGGAAAGACAAAGGAAGCATTTCAGCAGGGAAAGGAATAAACCAGCAAAATACCAGCCAAAGTGAAAGAAGAGTAAAGTTCACTTGGTTGGTGCAGCACTTGCCTACATCTCTTTGCATCCAACTGTCAAAGCATTTTTCATATATCTTGTACTCTGTGTTGAGTATTTATTATTTTCTCTACACTTACCAGTTAAATTACTAAAATTCCCATAATTCCATTTCTTATTTAGAAATATTAGAATCCAGTGAGAAAAACTAACATCCAGGGAGCACTCCTCCTCCCCTTCCATTTACACTAATGACTTTTAGGGGAAAATACAAGTTTCTTTAGGAAGACAACACTCTTTCTTGTAAACATATAATGAATATTCCCATAATTTTATTTATGTATTTATTTATCGCAATGATTTAAAGAAAAACCCTTGGTTGCTTGGACTATTCAGAAGCTAGGGCAAGAAGCCGATGAGGGATACAGGTTTGCGAAGGCTAAGAAACATGTCGCTAGTGTGTGACACTTAGGAGAATTTGCTCTTAATTCTGTACTTACAGACTTTTACATTTCAGAAGTGGGAGCCTAAAAATAAAACATACCTTAACTACTTATTATATATATTTCAATGCAAATTAAAGCAAATGAACAAAGAACAATGGTGAGGAGGAGAAAGAAAACATTCGTCCCTGCCAGTTATCTATAACTTTTTCTGGTTCATCTGATCTCATGTGGAGTGTGCTAAGGCCTCTAACAAAAATCACCACCTGTGATGTCTCCCTTACTCATCTGTACTCAGACCCGATACAAAGTTCAATCCACCACAGTGGATTAGGAAATGAAACAACTCCGTGTTATTTTTGCAAAGAAAGTGATTATCTAAAGATATTGGTGGGTCGTGGGGGTGGGGATGATGTTTGATGCCCAGCACCTCTGACAGCAGAGAGAGACTTAACTACAGACCCAACATAGAAAGCAACGTGCAGTAGCTGCTTGGTGGTCCCTTTCCACTGATGTGCTCTACTGTCATAATTTGCTTTCTTCTGTCAACTTCTGGGTACTGACAGGCCTTCCATGGCTTAGCTCTTGGAAAGCAGAGTTCTGGAAGCCATGTGTGGTCTTCCATCTTTCTCTTCCCATAACTGTCCTCTTTGAGGGTGTCATGCCTGCCCTCTCATAATTCAATCCCGTGCATTCTTTTGACTCCTGTCACCATTGCCTTCCTTCTTTACTCATCTCATACTTCCCTGGCATTTCATTGTTACTTTATTCCTGAACATTACCTACTTTCATTATTATTATTATTTTTAAAGATTTTATTTATTAATTTATTTGAGAGAGAGCGCATCAAGGCACAAGAGCAGGGGGTAGGGGCGGGGGGTGGAGAGGGAGGAGGAAAGAATTCCAAGCAAACTGCACTGAGCATGTAGGCCCACGTGGGGCTTGATCCCCCCATCCCAGGACCCCGAGATCATGACCTGAGCAAAAGCCAAGAGTCGGACGCTCAACAGACTGAGCCACTCAGGCGCCCCTACTTTCATTATTTTTTTCTACATATTTCTAATTCTGCAAATTCCTCTAGACTCTCCTCTCCATTTGAGTCTACTACATACATTTTTGAGATTTATTTCTTACATGTTTGTTCCCTATTACTTTCCCTATTATTTCAGTGGTCCTCAAATTTTAGCAGGCATACGGTTCACTTGGGGATGAGGAGAGGGCCTGGGTGTTTGTTTAAAAAATGCAGATTCCCTGGCATCAGTGGGTTGTAGCATCTGTAGCAGCCACCTCAGGAAATCCAGCTGATGCACAGGCACAGCTGGGCACTTTTAGGGACACCTGCTGCCCTTGTTTTGGCTGTGAGTCCCCTCTAAACCCTTGATCTTGCTAGCAATGACGCTGATAAAGGTCCTTTATCTCATTCTAACTTTCAAGTTCCTTTTTCCTCAGTTATTCTTATTTCCATGATACCCTTTACAAGGCTAGCTCTGTACTCCATCTTTATATCTAGCACAGGTTGTTTTGCATCCCTTCTCATTATCAGCGCTGCCTCCCCTCCCTATTTTCATCAACTTTTCATCTTTTCCCTCCCAACATACTCCCTTTCCTCTTCTTCTCCTTCCCCAATCTCCATCACGGGACACTCCTGTAACTCCCGCCCCTGCTCTTAAGTCAGTCTCCATTGGAGCAAAGTTACATAGCAGGCACTGGTTCTCCCCATTAGGTCATTTAACGATGAGCATCTTACCTTGTGAGGTAGAAAGGTTCATTTTCCACAATAAAAACCAATGTTGATGTCCAGGATGAAATAGTATGGTGTGGAAAAAAAAAATATCGCCACCCACAAAATAATTTTAAATGTACATAAATTTCCTTTACCTATTCAGTGCCTCACTCTTTAAACATGTCATATATTTTAACAGTTACAGCTTTTTAAATGGAAAGTTATGAGTATAATTTAATTATTGAGATAGAAAGAATGTAGCTAAACTCTATTTTATAGTGGTCTGAAATTTAAACTGAATCCAAACACTTGAATTAACTATCAATCAGACAAAACCAGAAGAAAGACAAAGTATTGGCTTGGACAAAAAATATTTTATAGGATGTCAATAATATAGCAAATCATGGACCATGAAAATTGAAATTAATTTCGTAACATTTTTCTACTGATGAAACAGTGAATTAAAGTGTATATCTGTATTATGTATGTATGTGTGTGTGTATATATATATACTAAAATATGTATCTATTTAATTATGTATCAGTTTAATTAGAAAACAGGCACAACACACACACATACCCATAACTCACAGGGGCATGTGCATGTTGTTACCAGAGGTGTCATATTCTCAAGTTGTAAAGAAAAATAAAGCACATAGTGAAATAACATTCATATTCATAAACTCTAATTGCTAACCAAAATACAACTAAAACAATGACTGTATGTTCCTGTGTGGTTATGCCACATCAGTTGCTTTCTGCTGGTCCTCCTTATCTCCCCATCCTCTAGTGTTGGCACCTTCCAAAACCCACTCCTGGGGGCACTTCCTTTTTTTAGTCTCCATGCCCTTCCCAAGTAATTTCATTTAATCTTCTAGTTTAAATACTTCAGTTGTGATGATTCCCAAATTCAAATCTCTAGCCTAGACCTTTTCCCTGAACTCTAATTAAAAACAAAAGCTCTCCTCTTCACAGCTCCAATTTATCATGTCCCAACCTGAGCTCCCTATCTGCTCCTCACAACCAGCTCCTTCTGTATACTTTCCCATCTCAGTTCATGGCAGGTCTGTTTGATGTGGTGTATGTCTCCTCTCTTCCTCTTTTACCTTTGTCCATTTTTTCCCCCAGAAAATTCTGCCTTTTCCTTCAAAACCTAAGCAGATTTCAACCATTTATTTCCACACTCACTGCAACAACCCTGGTGCAAGCCACCATCATCTTCTACCCCACAGACTGGTCTTCCCATCTCTATCCTTTACTCTAAGACATTGAAATCCTTGACTTAGCTTAGGGTTGAAGGAGGCAGGGGGCAGGCGAGGAGAGCGAAATAAAGCAATTCTTCCTTAGTTTCCTGCTCACACCCAGATCCTGGGACTTGCTCTGCCACTTCTCTGAGCCTTTCCTCCCCCACACCACCATAACCTCCACCCCTTAACCCATTTGCCCAACTAAGCCATTATTTTGGTATGTAGAGTCATGGAAGAATATAGATTAGAAATAAGAAGAGGCAAGGAGGGAAAAGGGAAGGAAAAGATCAGGGAGGAGGCACAGGCAGAAGAGGATTAGGGTTGAGGAACATAGAAAAAAATGATAAAGAATAATGTGCCTCTGCTTCTGTGGCAGAACTAAATCTGCAGAGAAAAACCTAAGGACTATTTTTTCCCAACTCAAGCACTACTTGTAAAAAAACGATCCCTTGAATCCAGAGGGAGGGATAGACATTCTCTCAGTTCTAACAGAGAAGAAAACTATGTGGATAATAAATGAAAATATACACCTCAGTGCACTTGAATATACCCTTTTGGCTTCACAGGGTTTAACAATGTGCTTCACGAAATTGAAACATACCTCTCTGCTTCCCCCATTGTATCCTTTCTATTTTTTGCAAGAAGTATGGCTTAGAGAAAAGAACTAGAAGGCAAATGG